ATATCACGAATACGTTCACTAAGTGACGTGCAACACGGTAAAATTCAAGCCGTTGGTAATATTTCCTGTAAAACATCTGGTTGTTGCCCAACTTGTAAATATTCCGAAAATATCCGAAATGGGTTGCCAAGGAGTAGAAAAAATGAATTGAATACAGTAAACTTTGACTTAGTTTTCCAAGATCTTGAATAAAGTGGGTTTGGAATATTATTGTAAAGCACCCAGTAACGAAAAAGTGAAATTGTCAGCCGGCTGCAAATTTGTTTCTGAGCATGATTAGTTTTCAGGTGATTGCAAACCAGTTGTGGATATTTTGTTTGCGATCGCGAAATTTGTGATCTTTTAAATGAGTGTCAGTGTCAAAGTTCTTTTATGTTTGGTTGGTGCTCGTTTATGTATGATATTTTTACTATATCACAATTTAAGTGGTTTCACTTAAGAAATCAGGATTATTTTGAGGCGACCGTACCGCGGTATAGTAAAGCTGATTTTTTGAGAATTTTTTTAATTTCTAATTTTTAAGGTGCTAAAATTATTACGGTATAACTTTTATAGCAAGTGCTGATAGTGTATAATAGCTTCCGCCTGTGGAACTAGAACTAGAAGAACTAGAACTGATAAGTACATCATAGAATCGATCAAAAACCGTTCAAATTTAGAATAATTATTTAAAAATTGAAATTTTAAAATTAAAAATTCAGTTCATTTCGTAATCGGAAAACGAAGCAAATGCGCAAGAAAAAACGTAGAATTTCTTACGAGTATGGTGTGCCTCAAAGTATAATGTCTTGGCTTTTGACGGCAATTATCGAAATTACCTGCCGACGGCAATAAAACACCTGACTAGTCGGTAACGTAATGGCATTAGGACGGACATTTAAGGTGTTTTAATAGTATAAAGATTAAATATCAGATTCACTTTATTTAGGTACGTCAAATCACCTTAGTACTAATAAACGATACGATGACAGTAAATATAATAAATTATCAATAATTACCTAGATAAGTACGTTTTTTTTTTCATTTAATTTCCTGAACGTAGGTACTGTAATCTGCCAATGAGCAATCTGTCTCTCTAGACGGTAAGATCAAACTTACTATCTACCTATCTATCTAAATTAATCTATCATATTGGCGTATCTGTAAGTGCGCTCAGCAAAAACCGACGCAGGAGGAATCCAGAAGTTTTGTAAAAAGCATGGTTGGTTGTTTGTTGGGTTTACCCAGTAACAACAGATGTGACCAAAACAACATACGCGGAATATTTTGGTGGTTGCAAATCGGTACGAGATCGGTAATTTTTGTTTTGTGAACGCCGGAATCTTGATCAGCTTCTTGGAAAGCTTTAAACGTCAAGCGGATGGGTCATTTATAACTGATGTGTGAACGAAGTTATTATTTTTTTAGAAAATCACCACTGCGGTGGCCGCTGCTGAAAAAAAATCCATTAACCATTCGCCGTAACGTTGATAATAACTCGGTAATATTTTCAAACCGTTGCGTTGTGCGGACGTAAAACAAACTCAACAGTTCCAGACTCCGTGCTCCGTCGCATCGAGACGCAAACCCGCAAAAATGCAAATCCGCGGGAATCCATTAGATGCGTTCCGCTGCAATTTCTTGTGCAAACTTCAATTTCGACACTCGCCGCTGCCATTCGCTAACAAAACTAATAAGTAAAACAAAGTTACAAAGCGCAGGGGGGGCTCCTTTGTTAAAACATTTTACGGAGCGAAATTATTCATTGTCGGGCACATTTCGACTCTCTCGGGGACTAAATCTTCGCGACAAATGAATTTGCAACAACTTTTTACCGAGATTTATATGAGTGCCCGTTTTGCCGTTGCATCTTGCCTTGGACAATTAAACGAGTCCAATTAAGAGCGACGAAATTATTTCGGGATTCTTTTCCCGTCGGACGCAATTTGCTACGTCGTTCTTGCTTAATTGAACGTTTATTTTTCTTGCTTTAAGGTGGCTTATTTGCATCGGCCTTTAAGGGGAATGATTTTGCGGTATCTTTAATACCAAGTTATATGTTGGGCATTTTTCTTCTTCTACGAAACGTCATATTTATGCAAATAAATTTTAAATTATTGTAAAAATCTACCATGTGGACACATTCAGTTTAAAATTTAGACTAAAAACCTTATTAAACTACATACACAATAGGTAATGCTAGAAACCTGCCAAATAGAAGAATTTTATATGCATTGAAATTGACAAATTCGGATGTGACGTCACGATTCCCTATTGTCATACCAACGAGGTTAAATCGAATTTAACGCGACGCTATTGTGCCGATTTAAACAATTCATTTTTTGAAAATAATTCAGCCTCCACAACGGGAACATTATCCGACTGCTCTAAACGAGTAAACAATGTGAGAGCTTAACTTAAAGGCCAACAGCATGATTGCGACACGTCAGCAAGTTCAGTTAGTCAGCAACCATCGCAGGAAGAATCCAGAAGATTTGTAAATAGTATTACAGTAGCCTACAGAAGTATCTTTGAAGAGTTTAGGTTATTTTAGTTATTAATTCCCATGGTCTGGGTGGACTTTAAGTCAACAAATTTAATAAAAATGTTTTTTCCAAGAAAAATAATTATCAGATGGATCTCAGCAGATCATTAAAAGCTGATTTATGATGCGTTGTCTTAAATTAAAAATTTATGCAAGTTATAAAAAGTCCGCATTCTTCATTTTTGCTTTAGTATTTTTTAAAATTTAGTCAACTGGCGCCCCTGTTTTAAAAAGAATTACGCTCAATGCAAATATGCTTTCAATGTGAATACGCTATTAAAATATTTTTTTCTAAGCTCTACTCCAAAATAGTCAATTGGCCAGGTATTAACCGCGGGGAAGTGTCACTGCAAACCTTAGGTTCGTTACCCACGATCGCAAGCCACTTCGAACATTATCGGTACTTTAGTCACGGATTTGGGAGCGATCGAATTATTCGTGCTGTTTTACGTAGTATGCAACACGATCATAAATTTCTTCAGTCACTCGTTTATTAATCAAGCTCCAGGCTAAAGTGACGTTTTCCAAACTTGTTGATCTTCGGATATTACCCACGGGCTTGGGAGCATTCCCATGTTTTCCGACAAATAACGAACTGCTTGAATTTTGAAGTTTGTTAATTCTAACGGTCCTGTCACATATCACTCAGTGAATGTATACGTGTTGTTTTGCAAAAATGTACCTAAAAACTAATTTCTTCTTCTTTCTAATTCCAATGCCGTTTACTATATTTGTTACATGATATTCATCTATATTTAAAATCACTGAATGTTACTAAACTATAAACCAGTCAACAACTAATTATCATCTTTTTTTAAAAATATATCCTTTCTGGTCGCACTAGCGGCTTAACAAAGTTACTTTCAGAGAAAAGAGTATTATTTCGAGGTTTTTCAGGTATGATGACTACGGCATATTCTGAGCTGATTTGGTTTGGGTCATCCAAATTGTTACGAGAGCGCCGACGAAACAGCCTGAGAAGCATCCTTTGTGGGATCGATGAGTCCTCACAACTTGCTTTAAGTTAGCCGTTGACTTAATTGATCCATGTCTTTACATCTCCATGTCAACCCCAGAATTTTTATCCCTTGGGATTGAAAGAAACAAATAGAAAGATTTATTTCCTGATTCCTGTGAAGCACCTGTTCCCGACGACGAAAAAGAAACGCGACTTGCAAAATCTATTTTCGCGTCCGCCACTAAAATTTTTTACCGTCCAACGAAAAACATATTCTTTGATCCGCCCAAGGGGCGGCGGAATCCATTCCAGGTATCGTTCGGAGTAAAACCTTTTTCACCGGCCTCCCCCCAATTGAAATTCAGAACGTTTCGTGTCAGAATTCAAATTTCCAAAGTAATATTTACGGGCGTGTAGCTAAGGGCAGAAACTTTTAAGTGGTTCGGACCATTTGTCCGGCGGAAAGGGTGAGCGACTTCGGGCTCTTACAGCGGTGACCATTAATAACCCACTGTCACTGAGAGTTTTCTTGTATCATTATCCAAGCCTTTACCGAAGGTGAGAGCTAAAAGATGGAGATTGTCCTTTTTCGGCGAAACAATGTAAATTGCGTTGGGGTCCCGATAGGAATTCTTAAGGAATTTGGTGTTAAGTTAAAGCGGGAAGCGATTTAAATTTTGAAATTGGTTCCGCGTGACGTTTGAAAAAGTAAAGTGGGGATTTACAACGTGCGCAAAAAGTTATGTATAATCGATTATATAATAATATCCATTAACACCTCCGATTACATATTCTAGATCATTTTTCCAAGGTAGCTGATTCAGCGGCCCAAACACCATTTTCTGCTTTTTGCTAAAAATTAATAGCGAAACTTGATTAGCGTACAAATTCTGTCATTATATATAATTATATTATTTTATGTTAATGGATTTTTATATGTATAGCCTATTTTATACATTTTGAAAAAAAGCATCTTGAATATTATATGTTTTAAAGAGATTATGCACTCTTCGTATTTAATTTCACTCGTTTTTGAACCAAAATATTACTTAATTTGTCTATTTAATTTTAATTTATCAACATCATTTGCATTTCTTCATCAAAAGTCAAGTCTGAGTACATGCTCGAAAATAAAAAATAATTATAGCGGATTCTGTAGCTGGACAACAGATTATTAAAATTTGACGCACCCTGTATAATCCCGAATCGTCATGTTTTTTAGCTCGCACAGTGTCCCTGATCATACGAAACAAAACAGTGAACAATCTATATGAAACAATACCAAGAGACCGCAAACAGGGACGTTAAAAATTAACAAAAAAATGTTCATTAACAGACTGTGGCAGCCTGTTCCGACAGTTTCGTAGCAACAAAAATTCCCGTTGGAGACCATCAAGCCTCGTAACAATGGCTTCGGTCCTGTCAGAAATGGCTTTCGGTGTAACGAAAAGTTTTCGTTTTTTTTCTGCGCCGTCGAAAGAAACGACAGAGAAATAATGGAGAGACCGGCAAACTTACCATTTTATTGTTAATCTCGTGGAAATGAATTTCACAAACTTTATCGACGACGTCCTCGCTCTGAAATGTGACGAACCCGAAACCTGAAACAGAAAAACTCCGAGTTAGTTCTTTTCAATTTTCATCCGGTCACGGTACGATGAGCGTTCGTTTTAAAAAGTTTTTGTAAAATATTATTCTATTAACTTTTTGTTCGGGGCAGCAAATCCTTTTTCGTGGAACTTCGGGAAAAGCTGGGGTCCGCGCGGAAAGTGGAAAGTATGTTTCCTTTTGTAGGGAGTGAAGTATAATTTACAGTTGGTAGTTTTTAAGTGGATAAGTTTTCGTTACGAAGATATGATATACGTTTTTATAAACTCAGATGAAGCGTTGGCTTCCTCTTTGAGCTGATCATTAGAAGTGGAGGGTAATATTAAGGAAACCACATTTGCTCTCATTTCTCTAGTTTCTTCTTAGTTTATATTTATGAAATTTCAATAAAAGACTTCGAAAATTCCTTGCAGGTATATTACTGCTGACGGAAACAGAATTAACGCCTCTAAGGCCTGAAATTCCATTACGACGACACTTCGCACAAATCATTCCAATTCTCATATGCTCATTACACATAAGAAACAGAATTATTTTCGGTAAAATCCCCAGAAGAAAGGGAAAGGAGAGCTGAAAAAGATTCCTGCAAATGTTTTAAAGGATTCTTCTGTCCGAAAGCAGCTCACAAAATTTGCAAGGTTGATGATTATTTTATTACGCATACGCTTCGTCAAAAGTATCCTCGAACAATATAGCAATATGCAAATATCAACAAAGGAACCACAATTTGGGCAGTGACGAACATAACTTTATTATTCCTAAATATTTATTGGTAAGCGACAGTACGTTTTTCAAGATGTCCGCACCTAATAGTTTTTTGTTATTCAATTTCAATAAAATTTGAGTTTGGCATTAATTTGCACTTCCAATTCGATTTGAGAAATTACTTTTTGATTAAACGGTATCAAAAGAACATCAACGGTTTAAAATATTATAATAGTTGTAATTGATGAAAGTGAAAACTAACAAAAACTATGTCATCGTAGGTAGATCAGGTTTTGTAAGAGGTGTTTTTTTTTCGATGTATAGAACTTTAAGTTGCAATAAAATAACGATGGATTATTCGATTTACAGGAATTTTATTTATCCGAAAGATAATCTTGTGGCATTACATTTTAAATATGATTTCTGGCATATGACCGCCACGGCTGGAGCTGGGGCGTTTGTGGCTTATCCGCATAGACCAATAACTTTACATAGCCCCACAGAAAGTAGTCTAGCGGTGTTAAACAAGATCTTGGAGGTCAATTCACAGGTCCAAAACGTGAAATTAGGCGGTCACCAAACGTGTCTTTCAATAAATCGATTGTGGCACGAGCTGTGTGACATGTTGCGCCGTCTTGTTGAAACCACATCTCATGGACATCATGGTTATTCAATTCAGGAATGTTAGGGTTAGTAATCATATCTCTATACCGATCACAATTGACTGTAACGTTCTGGCCATCATCGTTTTTGAAGAAGTACGGACCAATGATTCCATCAGCCCATAAAGCGCACCAAACAGTCAGTTTTTCTGGATGTAACACTCGAGGATTAGCTTCGCTCCAAATGCGGCAGTTTTGTTTGTTGATGTAGGTAGCCATTCAACCAGAAGTGCGCTTCATCGCTAAACAAAATTCGCTTATGAAAATCGGGAACAACGGCAAACTCGTTTTGGGCCCATTCGACGAATCTACGCCTTATATGATAATCGTTTTGCTTCAATTCTTCCGCAAAATCTTCCATAAAGTGGATGGACACAGATCCAATTCCTGTGTTCGATGGCGGATGGACTCTCTCGGGTCTTCCTCAATGCTATGCTCTACAGCAGCAATAGCTTCTTCGGTACGCACCGTACGGCGTCTCTGGGAATGCGAGTTATCAATAAGAGTAAACGTTGTGCCAAAACGTTCCATGGTTAATCGAATTAACTGCTTGATGGACGATTTTGTCGACGATAAAATGGACATAGTGCACGATACGTATTCCGCACAGAACCATTATTGTCGAAATAAAATTGCACTATTTGCAAGCGTTGTTCAGGCGTGAGTATATTCATGATGAATTGCTAAACCAAACTGAGAATAAATCACTTGAAAGCTGTTAAATCGGTCGCCATCTTGAACACATCGAAAAAAACACCCATTATAAGGACGTAAATAATATTGGAATGGAATTAAATGTTATTCTTACTAATACTACTTATAACAATACTCGAATTTTATAATATAATAAATACATTTCTATACCAATTAAATTAATATGAAAATTTGAGTAGGTTCAACAAAAAGAAACATGATAAACAGCTTTTCTATGCTAAACGATGGCTAATTTCCAAAATTCCGTTAAGCCAACTTCTGTTTGGTATCGACATTTGCAACAAGAAATGTTAAACTTCTCCCCCCGCACTTATTTCGCGTCCTTCAATAAAAAGTACTAACACTTTTTTTCCGTTCTGAATTTTCCAAGAAAAATACTGTTTTTTTGTATGACCATAATAGTTACGCCGGTTATTGATTGATTGATTGATTCTATTAATTCCAAAAACTGTACTTAATTCTGGAAAAAAATGTGAATTTTACTTCGTCGTCGGAAATAGAACATAGAACTTTGAAACCATCAATTTGTTTTTAAGCTGTCATTATGTACGTTGGTTGCATGGTTCCAAAATGTGCTTCCTTCTGCGCTGTACTTATGGAACGAACATAAAAATGCAAAAATCTTTCTCAAAACTTTGTCGTTAATAAAACTGTACGTTTCTAAATTCCGACTTAATCAGCATCAATATGAATTTTAAATACTTTATTATCCCCGTACGAATAATCCGATGGAGTGTAAAAAGGGACAGAGAATGAAACCGAGGAGATAGTAAAACTTGTTTTACGGCCCTTTCTTTTCGTATTTCGTTTTCGTTTAAAACAAAAGTTTGCATTGTAACTTTTCGTTGAGATTAACCGGATGGAACGAACTTTAAAGTACCGATGGAGACAGCCAGAATCTGCCCTCCGACTGAAGTCAAATATTTGCTTTTGAACAAATAAATATGAAACATTCGGAGGTTTCTCGATCGCTCATGTTTTATAGTAATATATCATATAACAACCAAATAGATTTTGTTATTAAAAAAACATCGTAAAAAAAAATCTAGAGATTCTAGGTCTTGTTTTAGTATTAACTGATAATGCACAGGGTTGTTCATCTCCTTGAGAGTTTGTTTTATCCAAACACTTTAAATACAAAAGTTACCGCCATACAGCTTCTAACATTGATGCACTAAAAGGAACAACCTGTATATTTTGGTTATATAGGTTGCTACATCATAACACTAGATTTAAGTTATCGGTTACATTGTTTACAAATTTATGCACATTTGGCAAACTATGCAAAAAATGGAATTGTGGTCATAAAAAAATCAACCCCTTATTGAATTAACAGTATATTATGCAAGGAGTTTTATAAACGACACCTTGTGTCTAAAGAAGTTGCATACTATCATATACCCAATACGACCATTAGTTTTTAGGTACACTGTTACAATACATTCACTAAGTGACATGCAAAGTGACCATCAGAATTGAAAAACTCAAAATACGATAGTTATTTTAAATCTAGCGGTCGCTTCCAACTAATGACTAAAGTACCGGAAACGCTCGACTTTTTAAAGTGGCATGTTGCGCACGCCTGAACAGTGTACATTTGGGTATTTTAGAGAAGAGTGCAAAAAAATTGTCTTTTTTTATCTAGAAGCCAATGATTGTTTGAATACGAGTATAATGATGTATGTATCAGCGTTGCTAATATGCATCTAATTTTTTTCGTGAAGTTTAATATCCATTTTTTACACAGTGTGTGTAATCCAAATTGATAGTCGAAAAGACTGTTTGTGAACATTCAGTTAAATCTACACTTTATAGGTTTTCCAACTTGAATTCATTGCGAATGGGAGGAAGACAAAGAAGTAGTCGCGAAGCCCGAATCTTTGTTATTATGAAATACACAACATTAACAGCAACAAAATAACAGAAACTAACCAAAACTAACCAAATACATTTCTACACAATTAAAATGCAAAAAGCCAACAGCAACATTTCATCACGGTCAAACATCTAACGCCTTCCACATTAAGGGCCGGTCGAACAAACGCTGTGAACCATGGTTCACTGTTAAACTGCAGTTAAAAGTTTATCTTACATTTTTCGTTTGTGAACGTACCGTGCGTTTAACTTATCTTGATAAAATTTCAATTGGCTGTAACTTTTTTGTTTTTAGATATAAACAAAAAAATAAAATGTAAGGTTAATAGCCAAATTTTTTCAAAGTGACGTATAAATCAAAACACTGTTAATTTTCTGACATGTAAGCCTACATCATATATTTTTTAATGGAACACCCAGTATATTATACATTCCCATTACAACGATGTAACAAACTTTATATTTTAGTCCACTCGTTTTTGACAAATCGGCAAAAATAGTATATTTTTATATAATTTCCAAGAGTGCACTGACCGACAAATAAATGTTTGACATATTAGTAAACAACGTTGATGGTTGAATTATTGTCCAGGTCATTATTGTTAAAGTGTATATTTTCTGAATAACAAAAGTGCAACCGCCGCTCGTCGCCATTATATTGGACTTTATCCAGAGCGTCGAGTTCCTTCAAAACAGAAATTTCCGAGGCTGGCAAAGAAATTTTGAAGAAAAAGGTAACGCATTAAATTCCAAAAAGGTATGCAGGAATCATAATGTTTGAAATGAAGAAAATAATGCAAACACTTCACTTTCCTCTATTACTTGAGTATATGAAGAGACAGGTATTTCTCGGGGATCGATTTACTCAGCTTTGAAAGAATATAATGCATTTAAATTTCGAAAATCTTAAAAACTTAGTGCAGAACAATGTCAAAGGAGGATGTAGTTTTGTTTGGATTTTTTAAATAGACGTAATGAGAGTAATAATTTTTGAAAAACACTTTATGGACTGATGAAAGTGCGTTCACTACAAGAAA